AACGCGATTTCCCGTTTCTGAGCACGAACCCGCTCGCTTGAGGGGCGAACAGCCGGGACGCAGAACGGGCACCCGGGGCCTCCGAGCAGAGGGGTGCGGTACGGCCCCCCGTCACAGCCTCTCAAGTATACAAATCATGCAATTTATTTATTTTTTTAAAACTTCATTGGTGTCCTTAAGTACTGAAAGTACATCTATTTCTAGGAACATAAAGAGAAAAAAAAAAAAGGGATACTAGAAAAATATTACATCTAAAAGTAATTAGGGCTAAATTTACAAAGTCTTTATTTAAAAACCCCTAGAGTATGTATAAAGGAGATCCTCCCAGTCAAAACTCATCCTACCTACTGCTTGAAAACCTACATCAATGCCCCATATTTACACCATAAATGTTCTAGCCCGTGTATACAATATGCAACATTTGTATACACAAAGTATATACACAGCAGGTATGAATAAGCTTGTGACCACAGAACAAACATCCAGGCAAATTAGTAAACAGTGTGGAAAATATACATTTCTTATACCATAAAGCAATGGGGAGAAGACATCCAAAAATATGCACGTACTTTCAGTGAGTGGAATTGGTTTGTCTCTTCCTAAAGCATTGTTTTCTTTTGCAGGGGAGAAGACTATATCAAACAAGTGACTTGTACAACTTTTTATAAAAAGAAAACTTAAATAGTGCAAACTCTGGTTAAAACAGGTCACCGCATAGAAGAGATTTATGCGTAATACAGACAAAACCCGGGAGGAGTTACTCGTGGGGTGGTATCAGAAATGAAGGTCCCAGCTTTCCACCCGGACACGCGACATCCAGCGGCAGCTTCAGCATCGTGTGCTGAGACACGTACCGGGCAGACGCTGAGCTAGACCTCGGTCCCTGAGCCGCAGTATCGTCACCTAAAATCCCAGGAACATTTAACTTCTACTTCAAATCACCTTGTAATTCTCTGGTAGCGTATTCCAGTGAAATGCCCGTCCCTGACAGTTATCACAAGGCAAACTAACTACCCAAACCCTACAAACACAAGAGGGGCTTTGCAACATTTCCACCTTTTCAGTAGCGAGCCTGGTAAATTCTCCTGTCTAGAACTCCTAACAGGCAAAGGAATTTGGCAACCTCTACCAAACAAGACGTGCTACAAAATGCATCGGGTTACTTTCTAACTAATATTTCAGTTAAATAGCATTTCAAAGGGCTATGACAAAACAGTTAACAGAAATAATTTTAAATATGCCAGCTGTGTTTTACATAATTTCCTAGAAGAGGAGAGTCTTTCAACATTTGCTGAGTATTTCCAGCATCAGAGCTTTCACATCCAGGTGCTCTTTCGCTCGTTGGGAGAAAAAAAAAAAAAAAAGAAAAAAGAAAAAAAGCTCTATTTCCTGATATGCAGAACTACCAAAGATGAATAATCAGTGAAGTCCCCCAAAATAAACTACGAGAACAGACCAGCAACAGAAAAAGGACTTTAAGGCAATAAGAGGCATCAGTGCTGCGATGCTCCAATGTTTACATCCCAATGCGTGTTCAATTGCAAAGAATTCCTCTCCCCTGCCCCCACCCCCAATTTCCTCCTTGTCTGTTAACTGTCAGACTCTTCCTCCTTCTCCTCCTCATCATCATCGTCCTTTGTGTTGGCCTCAGATTTATCTGAAGATTCATGGAGAAGAACATATTCCCTGCTACTGAACCCAAACTTCAGCACATCCTTTTCCTTGAGTTCGTAATAACGCTGGGGTTCAATCCGCTGGTTATTGAGGAAAGTGCCGTTCCCAGAGCCCAGGTCGATGATATAGGGCCTTACTCTGCGGCCAACGGTACCATCGGCACGCGTGTACTCCACAAGCCTAGCAAAACAAAACACACAGTTTCAATCACAACAGTGAGGGACAGAAAACACACTCCAAAAGCAGACGGGTTTCCCAACACAAGCCCCGGTGCTGTTAACACTTTTCTGTACTTGCAGACATCTGATCAAGTCTGACGAGAGCAACGAGAAATCGTGCGAGACCGAAGCAGATTCTGACAGGCTGCATCACCTTCTAAAACTTCTGATGATATAATAGAGGAATTCCCACCACAGAACAGATGGCTGTTCCCTAAGAGAGCATCTTTGTCTCCAGCAGCACACAACCCCTGCTGCTTCAGAGGAGATCAGCAGACTTTGTTGTGAAAGACCAAGTGAATAAAACCTCTCCCTGAAAGACTTTTACTGCCAATGACACCTGCCGGTTTGTTCCAATTCAGATACACACAGTTCTGTGTCTGACCCTGCTGTGTTATTTGTCTTACTAAAAGGCTGCTTGCGGTTAAACGAGGGGAATTACAGGTATTTTTGGTTACTGCTAGGATGACAGTCGAACAGAAATCCCATCTCTAACGTACTTACACCAAAGCTGTACCTCTCAGCTCTGCACATCCAGGGTTTTTTTGTTTGCTTGTTTTTTTCTTCCGAAGTTCCCGAACAATCCTGTTTCGCCAGCAGGCAGCGGAATACTTACCGGTACTGAAACACGGCGTGCTGCTTCGAGCAGGAGGGATGGTCAATTGGAATATCTGCGATCCTGCGGTGCCGGCCCAGAAGATAAGCACTCTGCCTGTGGATGTACATGACTGGGAGAAACTCATCGTTTTTGAAAGGATAGAGGCGCCATCGCTTCTTTGGAATCCGAGCTTCGGGGGGCTCGCTGTACTTAATCACAACACCTCGGAAAGTGTTGGTATCCTCTAGAAGCGCACCAGACAGTTCAAAGCTTGGCTTCTCTTTGTTTACAGCAGCTTTTTCTTTAGGTTTGTTATCAGATTGCCCGAGTTCTGGATTCTGGTCAACACCACTGCCTTCGTTATTTTGTCGATGCTCTCGTCTTCTCTCGTTATAAAACTCCCTCTCTGCTTGCTGCTCACGGATGTTCTGAACATCCCTCTCTCGCTCGTGGCCTCGAGCTCCAGGTCTTTCATTTGAGTTCTTCCTCCTGTCTGAGTGGTCTCGGTGTCTATCTCTGTCACCACTTCTGTCTCTCCTGTGTTCTTGTTCTGATGGGTATCTCTGCTTTCGCTCCTCGTTTCCTCTACGACAATGATCATCTCGCTCCTGTAACAAGGAATTGCGTAGAGTGATGCGTTCAGAATTAGACCGAAAGAGCAGCGAATCTACTTCAGCGTTTAAGAAAATCACAATCCTACGCAAGGAAAATGCGCACCGGGACGTGTGCGCAGGTGTAGCGCAAG